AATATTCATGTATCTAAGGAACTGCAAGTTACATATTTAATTCATTGCAGATCAATAAGGATTTATGAAGTAAAAATCAATACTATTAATGATTTAAAGTTCTTTAGTGTGTATGCTTAAAACATACCAGATATTTCATAGAACAGTTACAAAGTCTGGATCCACTTTTTGTCATATAAATAAGCACTTTTTTAACCAGAGGTGTAACCCATGGAAAATAATGACAGAAATAAAGCATTGCAGAATAAGTCAATCTCATGAAGTGTGTCCTATACATATGAAATAACAGAATCACGGAATATATATGTGAATCATAATTTGTGAGATAGTTGATAATAGCAATTTAATATGTTAAAGCAACTATAAATCCTTATTGCATTTTTACTGAAATTAGATGTGTGGTTAACAATGTCAGAAATAAGTTCATTTTTTAACCATAAAAATTAATTTCAGTCATAATTGTGCCTAACCAATCATACTCAATTTCATTTTAGAAAATTGTATTATGACAGAAATAAGCTGAGAATGAAACATCTACAATATAATTATTTGATTTCCTCATCTTTGATTTTTCCTCTATATTTTAATAGGTGTACTTACATGGCCAGTGGACTTACATGGCATCAGCTAACACTAATTAGACTGAAGATGTTATCTGATTCTCTTTCATGTGAATGGCTCAAAACTACCTCTTATTTATTAGACCTATTACTTTGCAGTCATTTTAAAATCAACTGTAGAATTTTTCATCTAGATAATAGCATTGTTACAGCACTAAATTTCCCACTGACAAAGTTCAAAACACATTTATTACCCAAAGTTCACCTTCCCCACTAAATGTATAAAAGCCCTTAGAGTTTGCTCAATTTACTATTAAGACTTCTATAAAACAGCTATAATAATACAAACTTTTTAGATTCATTTTGTTCAAAAAGAGAATTATTTTATCCCTCTCTGTTTGTTTCTATCTGTAATGATGCTCTGAGTTAAAGAACTTGCATTATACATGATCCTTGCCATGAATACCATCAGGACATGGTTAGTCAATCTCAGAATTAGTGTGGATTCACAGAAGGTCTTCATTCAGACCTGAGATATACTTTTAATAATTCTGAATATACTTTTATATATACTGAATATACTTTTAATATTCTGAAAATAGAGTAAATAGGTTTTACAATTTAATTTCTATGCAGATAGTCATAGATATTAAGAAAGGAAACTGTTGAAAATATTATCTACCTCAGGAAATATCTGGCAAATTCTGTTTCTGCAAGAAACATTTCCAATTGCTCCATTACATTATTTTCAGGTTGCCTGGTAACTATTTGGTTATTACACAATTCCATTCTAATTTGTTGTGCATTAGCTCTGTTCTGCAAAAAGCATGATTATTATTTTGCATGAAAAAAGGAGGCAGATGGTATGTCTTTCATCCTTGTGGATGGAAGACCAATGAAAACTGCACTTTTCAGATTTCTCTACTTGCAGGCATCAAAAAAAGACTCTTGTAAGGTCTTTCTCATGTCTTCTTGATTCAAGAGACTCAATTTTGATTACTAAAATTATACAAGGTTAAATAAATTACATGTCATTTACTTAGTAAATGCAATTCCTTCTTGAAGTATGAATGCCCTTAAGAAAAAAAGCATAACTGCTCTGAAAAAGAGTAGCAATGCAAAAGGAAGTGGCTATTATTGTTGTGTATAAGATAAAGGAAGAAGTACCTATATAGTAAAAAAAAAAAAAAAAACAAAACTCTCAGGTATGAAATGATCACACACAATATATGGGATAAAATATGTCATGGTACAGTAAAAGACAGTGCTGAAGAATGCTTTCTCTCTTTATAAGTTAGTCTTTGGCTGATACCAAAAAGAAAGCCAATCTGTGTAACTTAAGCATAAGCAGAATTGACTGACGAATGAGATGAATGCTTGCAAAATGTCCAAGAACTAAGTGAGGTCTAGAATATCACAATCTTGATTTCAGCTTCTGTTTCATCCCTCCTGGAATTTCCCATTATGTACTCTTCATAAAAGTTAAACAAACAGGGTGACAATATAGAGTCTTGATGTACTCCTTTCCTGACTTGAAACCAGTCTGCTGTCCCAAGTCTAGTTCTAACTGGTGCTTCCTGACCTGCCTAGATTTCTCAGGAGGCAGGTCAGGTGGTCTGGTATTCCCATCTCTTGAATAGTTTTCCATGGTTTGTTGTGAACCACACAATCAAAGGCTTTGGCATAGTCAACAACCAGAAGTGGATGTTTTTCTGGAACTCCCTTGTTTTTTTGATGGTCCAATGGATGTTGGCAATTTGATCCTTGGTTCCCCCGTCTTTTCTAAATACAGCTTGAACATCTGGAAGTTCACGATTCATGCACTCTTGAAGACTGGCTTGGAGGATTTTGAGCATTACTTTGCTAGTGTGTGAGATGAGTACAATTGTGCAGTAGTTTGAACATTCTTTGGGATTGCCTTTCTTTGGACTCAGAATGAAAACTGACTTTTCCAGTACTGAGGCTACTGTTGAATTTTCCAATTTGCTGGCATATTGAGTGCAGCACTTTCACAGCATCATCTCTCAGGATCTGAAATAGCTCAACTGGAATTCCATCATCTCCAGTAGCTTTGTTTGTAGCGATGCTTCCTAAGGCCCACTTGACTTCACATTCCAGGATGTCTGGCTCTAGGTGAGTGATAACACCATTGTGGTTATCTGTGTTATGAAGATCTTTTTTGTACAGTTCTTCTGTATATTCTTGCCACCTCCTCTTAATATCTTCTCCTTCTGTTAGGTAAATACCATTTCTGTCCTTTATTGAGCCCATCTTTGCATGAAATGTTCCCTTGGTATCTCTAATTTTCTTGAAGAGATCTCTTGTAGTTCCCATTTTATTGCATTCCTCTACTTCTTTGCATTGATAACTGACGAAGGCTTTTTTATCTTTCCTTGTTATTTTTTGGAACTCTGCATTCAAATGGGTATATCTTTCATTTCCTCCTTTGCCTTTAGATTCTCTTCTTTTTGCAGCTATTTGTAAGGCTTCCTCAGACAACCATTTTTCCTTTTTGCATTTCTTTTTCTTGGGCATGGTCTTGATCACTGCCTCCTGTACAATGTCATGGACTTCTGTCCATAGTTCTTCACGCATTCTGTCTTTCAGATCTAATCCCTTGAATCTATTTTTTCCTTTCACTGTATTCTCATATGGGATTTGATTTAGGTCTTATCTGAATGGTCTAGTGGCTTTTCCCTACTTTCTTCAATTTAAGTCTGAGTTTGGCAATAAGGAGTTCATGATCTGAATCATAGTCAGCTCCCAATCTTGTTTTTGCTGACGGTATACAGCTTCTCCATCTTTGACTGCAAAGAATATAATCAATCTGATTTCAGTATTGACCAACTGGTGATGTCCATGTGTAGAGTCTTCTCTTGTGTTCTTGGAAGAGGGTGTTTGCTATGATCAGTGCGTTCTCTTGGCAAAACTCTATGACCCTTTGACCTACTTCATTTTGTACTCCAAGGCCAAATGTGCCTGTTACTCCAGGTATTTCTTGACTTCCTACGTTTGCATTCCAATTCCCTATAATGAAAGACATCCTTTTTGGGTGTTAGTTCTAGAAGTTCTTCTAGGTCTTGATAGAAATGTTGAACTTCAGCTTCTTCAGCATTACTCTTCAGGACATAGATTGGATTACTGTGATATTGAATGGTTTGCCTTGGAAACAAACAGAGGTCATTCTGTCATTTTTGAGATTGCATCCAAGTGCTGCATTTCTGACTCTTGTTGACTATGAGGGCTACTCCATTTCTTCTAATGGATTCTTGCCCACAGTAGTAGATATAATTGTCTTCTGAATTTAATTCATTCATTCCAGTCCATTTCAGTTCACCAATGCCTAAAAAGTCAATGTTTACTCTTGCCATGTCCTGTTTGACCACTTTCAATTTGTCTTGTTTCATGGACCTAACATTCCAGGTTCCTCTGCAATATTGCTCTTTATAGCATTGGACTTTACTTCCATCACCAGTCACATCCATGACTGGGTGGTGTTTTTGCTTTGGCTCTGTCGCTTCATTATTCCTGGAATTATTTCTCCACTCATCTCCAGTAGCACATTGGGCATCTAGCAACTTGGGGAGTTCATCTTTCAGTGTCCTATCTTTTTGGCTTTTCAAACTGTTCATGGGGTTCTCAAGGCAAGAATACTGAAGTGGTTTGCCATGCCCTTCTCCAGTGGACCACATTTTGTCAGAACTCTCCACCACGTCCCGTCCTTCCTGGGTGGCCCTACATGGCACGGCTCATATTTTCACTGAGTTAGATAAGGCTGTGGACTATGTGATCAAATTGGTTAGTTTTTTATGATTGTGGTTTCCATTATGTCTACCCTCTGACTGAGAAGAATAAGAGATTCAGGGAAGCTTCCTGATGGGAGAGACTCACTGAGGTGGAAACTCAGTCTTGTTCTGATGGGTAAAGCTATGGTCAGTCAATTATGAAAGGGTCAGTTCAGTCACTCAGTCGTGTCTAACTCTTTGTGACCCCATGAATCTTAGCACACCAGGCCTTCCTGTCCATCACCAACTCCCGGAGTCTACCCAAACCTATGTCCAACAAGTCAGTGATACCATCCAGCAATCTCATCCTCTGTTGTCCCCTTCTCCTCCTGCCCCCAATCCCTCCCAGCATCAGGGTCTTTACCAACGAGTCAGCTCTTTGCATCAGGTGGTCAAAGTATTGGAGTTTCGGCTTTAACATCAGTCCTTCCAATGAACACCCAGGACTGATCTCCTTTAGGATGGACTGGTTGGATCTCCCTGCAGTCCAAGGGATGCTCAGGAGTCTTCTCCAACACTACCATTCAAAAGCATCAATTCTGGCGCAGCAGTTTCCAGTGATCCTAGGAGGAGAGGGTTTTGTCTTTTCGTTGACGTTGTAGCTGTTCACTTTGAAATCAGTCGAGTTTCGGGAGTCACCGCCGCTGTTGTCAACATGTCGGTCCCAAGCTCACTCATGAAGCAACCGCCTATTCAGTCAATGGCTGGGGCCGTCCCTGTTCGCAATGAGAAAGGTGAGATTTCGGTGGAAAAAGTGAAGGTAAAACGTTATGTGTCGGGAAAGAGGCCAGACTATGCCCCTATGGAGTCTTCAGATGAGGAGGATGAAGAGTTTCAGTTCATTAAGAAAGCCAAAGAACAAGAAGCAGAGCCTGAGGAACAGGAGGAGGATTCATCTAGTGACCCTCGGCTGCGGCGTTTGCAGAACCGTGTTAGTGAAGATGTGGAGGAGAGGTTGGCTCGACACCGGAAAATAATGGAACCTGAAGTGGTTGGAGAAAGTGACTCCGAAGTAGAAGGAGATCCTTGGCACATGGAATGAGAAGATAGCAGCGAAGGAGAGGAAGAAGAGATTGATGAAGAGGAGATAGAACGGCGCCGTGGCATGATGCGCCAAAGAGCACAGGAGAGAAAAAATGAAGAGCTGGAAGTCATGGAGGTGGAAGACGAGGGACGTTCTGGGGAGGAGTCCGAATCAGAGCCTGAGTATGAGGAGGACACAGACAGTGAGGATGAGATGGAGCCTCGCCTTAAGCCAGTCTTCATGCGGAAGAAGGACCGGGTGACGGTTCAAGAACGTGAGGCTGAAGCATTGAAACAGAAGGAGCTAGAGCAGGAGGCCAAACATAGGGCTGAGGAGAGACGCAAGTGCACACTCGAGATTGTAGAGGAGGAAACCAAGAAAGAGCCGGAGGAGAACAAGCGGTCTCTGGCTGCCCTGGACGCACTCAATACTGATGATGAAAATGATGAGGAGGAATGTGAGGCCTGGAACGTTTGGGAGTTAAAGAGAATCAAGAGGGACAGAGAAGACAGAGAAGCACTTGAGAAGGAGAAAGCAGAAATTGAACGAATGAGAAACCTAACTCAGGAAGAGAGGCGAGCTGAGCTTCGGGCAAATGGCAAAGTCATCACCAACAAAGCTGTTAAGGGCAAATACAAGTTCCTGCAGAAGTATTATCACCGGGGTGCCTTCTTCATGGTTGACGATGAAGAAGTATACAAGAGAGATTTCAGCGCACCTACCCTGGAGGATAATTTCAACAAAACCATTCTTCCCAAAGTCATGCAGGTCAAGAACTTTGGACGCTCTGGTCATACCAAATACACCCACCTCGTGGATCAAGACACCACCTCCTTTGACTCAGCATGGGGCCAAGAGAGTGCCCAAAATACAAAGTTCTTTAAACAAAAGGCAGCCGGGGTACGAGATGTATTTGAACGACCATCTGTCAAGAAGCGGAAAACTACTTAGAGTTCAACTACCTGTTCTTCCAGCTGTGGGACACAAGGGGAAATCTCAGCATCTGGTCCTTGATTTGTTTTTCCTACTATTCACATGGCCCCTGTATCCAGCCTGCTGAACCTATTCTCATACTTGTGGCACTGGGCAAACCCAGTCTTTGAAAGTGCTTTGTGAGGTTTGGACTCATGCTGAGAAGCCTGCAAAAAAGCACTGTCCAGGTAGGATTAGAGGCTCCCACTTAGGACTATTTCTGAGAAATCTTGAATGTCATTACTGCTCTGGATCCAATATTCACTTGGGACTGTTCCAAGTTTCTTTTTCCAGCTCTGAGCTTGGGTTAGAAACATGGATGGGCATGTAAGTGGACAATGAATTATTTCTACCTTATAGGAAGTCTAAAGTCATTGAAAACCTGTTTTGCATTTTTGGGTAAATTTTTCTAGGCAAACATAAAAAAAAAAAAAAGCATGAATTCTTTGGTGCTCAGCTTTCTTCACCATCCAACTCTCACATCTATACATGACTACTGCAAAAACCATAGCCTTGAGAAGATGGACATTTGTTGACAAAGTAATGTCTCTGCGTTTTAATATGTTATCCAGGTTGGTCATAACTTTCCTTCCAAGGAGTAAGTGTCTTTTAATTTCATGGGTGCAATCACCATCTGCACTGATTTTGGAGCCCCCCAAAATAAAGTCTGACACTGTTCCACCATCTATTTCCCATGAAGTGATGGGACCAGATGCCATGATCTTAGTTTTCTGAATGTTGTGCTTTAAGCCAACATTTTCACTCTCCTCCTTCACTTTCATCAAGAGGCTTTTTAGTTCCTCTTCACTTTCAGCCATAAGGGTGGTGCCATCTGCATATCTGAGGTTACTGCTATTTCTCCCAGCAATCTTGATTCAGCTTGTGCTTCATCCAGTCCAGCATTTCTCATGATGTACTCTGCATATAAGTTAAATAAGCAGAGTGACAATATATAGCCTTGAAGTACTCCTTTTCCTATTTGGAACCAATCTGTTGTTCCATGTCCAGTTCTAACTTTTGCTTCCTGACCTTCATATAGGTTTCTCAAGAGGCAGGTCAGATGGTCTGGTATTCCCATCTCTTTCAGAATTTTCCACAGTCAAAGGCTTTGGCATAGTCAATAAAGCAGAAATAGATGTTTTTCTGGAACTCTCTTGTTTTTTCTATGACCCAGCAGATGTTGGCAATTTGATTTCTGGTTCCTCTGCCTTTTCTAAAACCAGCTTGAACATCTGGAAGGTCACAGTTCACGTGTTGCTGAAGCCTGGCTTGGAGAATTTTGAGCATTACTTTACTAGCATGTGAGATGAGTGCAACTGTGTTGTAGTTCAAGCATTCTTTGGGATTATCTTTCTTTGGGATTGGAATGAAAAACGACCTTTTCCAGTCCTGTGGGCATTGCTGAGTTTTCCAAATTTGCTGGCATATTGAGTGCAGCACTTTCACAGCATCATCTTTCAGGATTTGAAATAGCTCAACTGGAATTCCTTTACCTTCACCAGCTTTGTTCATAGTGATGCTTCCTAAGGCCCACTTGACTTCACGTTCCAAGATGTCTGGCTCTAGGTGAGCGATCACACCATCGTGATTATCTGGGTTGTGAATATCTTTTTTGTACAGTTCTGTGTATTCTTGCCACCTCTTCTTAATATCTTGTGCTTCTGTTAGGTCCATACCATTTCTGTCCTTTGTTGTGCCCATCTTTGCATGAAATGTGCTCTTGGTATCTCTAATTTTCTTGAAGAGATCTCTAGTCTTTCCCATTCTGTTGTTTTCCTCTATTTCTTTGCACTGATCACTGAGGAAGGCTTTCTTATCTCTCCTTGCTATTCTTTGGAACTCCACATTTAGATGGAAATATCTTTCCTTTTCTCCTTTGCTTTTTGCTTCTCTTCTTTTCACAGCTATTTGTAAGGCCTCCTCAGTCAGCCATTTTCCTTTTTCCATTTCTTTTCCATGGGGATGGTCTTGATCCCTGTCTCCTGTACAATGTCACAAACCTCAGTCCATAATTCATCAGGCACTCTGTCTATCAGATCTAGTCCCTTTAATCTATTTCTTAAAGCTATTTACTGAGCCATGGTCAGTAAAGCTTTAATCCACTTTTCTGTGGAAGGGTGGGGCTGTGTTCCCTCCCTGTTATTTGACCTGAGGCCAAACTATGGTGGAAATAATGAAGATAATGGCGACCTCCTTCAAAAGGTCCCATGCATGCACTGCTGCACTCAGAGGTCTGACCCTGCAGCAGGCCACCACTGACCCACACCTCCGCCAGAGACTTGTGGACACTCTCGGGCAAGTCTGGGTCAGTCTCTTGTTGGGGGCATTGCTCCTTTCTTCTGGGTCCTGGTGCACACAAGGTTTTGTTGTGCCCTCGAAGAACTGTGTCCCCAGTTCTATGTAAGCTTTGGTGACTCTCTGGTGGGGTTAATGGTAACCTCTTCCAAGAGAGCTTATGCCATACTCAGATCTGCTGCACCCAGAGCCCCTACCCCTGAGGCAGGCCACTGCTGACTGGGACCTCCACAGGAGACTCTCAGACACAGTTCTGGCTCAGCCTCTGTGGGGTCTCTGGGTCCTGATGAGCATAAGGTTTGTTTGAGCCCTCCAAGGGTTTCTGGGGGGTATGGAGTTTGATCCTAAACATAGTTTTGCCCCGCTACAATCTTGCTGGAGCTTCTCCTTTACCCTTGGAGATGGAGTATCTTTTTCGGTGGGATCCAGCATTCTCCCTTGTATGTTTTTTAGCAGTGAGTTGCAATTTTGGAGTTCTCACAGAAAAAGATGAGCACAGGTCCTTCTACTCTGCCTTCTTGTTGTAGCAACAAGACATTGCATGACTTAGACAGTAAAGAATCTACCTGCAATTAGGAGACCTGGGATCTATCCCTGGGTCTGAAAGATCCCCTGGAGAAGGGAATGACTACCCACTCCAGTATTCTTCCCTAGAGAATTCCATGGACAGAGGAGCGTGGTGGGCTATTGTCCATGGGTTCACAAAGAGTCTGAAACTACTGAGCGACTAATACTTTCACTGTCACTTTTATATTATAGTATAGGCTTATATAGCCCTGGTGGTTCAGATGGGAAAGAGTCTGCCTGCAGTGTGGGAGACCTGGGTTCGATCCCTGAGTCAGGAAGATCCCCTGGAGAAGGAAATGGCAACCCACTCCAATATTCTTGCCTGGGCAATCCCATGGATGGAGGAGCTTGGCAGGCTACAGTCCGTGGAGTCACAAAGAGTCGGACACAACTGAACAACTTCACTTATATATGTGATACTATAATATAGGGCTTCCCTGGTGGTTCTAGTGGTAAAGAAACCACCTGTCAATGCAGGAGAAAAAGTAAGAAACGGAAACCTGTTGCTCTAGTGATCTTGCCTACAGAATTGTGTGAACAGAAGAGCCTGGCAGGCAACAGTCCCTGTGGCTGCAAAGAGTTGGACATGACTAAGAGCCTGAGTTGGACAAGGCAATGGCAGCCCACTCCAGTACTTTTGCCTGGAAAATCCCATGGACGGAGGGTATGGTAGCCTGCAGTCCACGGGGTCACTAAGAGTCGGACATGACTGAGCAACTTCACTTTCACTTTTCACCCTCATGCATTGGAGAAGGAAATGGCAACCCACTCCAGTGTTCTTACCTGGAGAATCCCAGGGATAGCAGAGCCTGGTGGGCTGCCGTCTATGGGGTCACACAGAGTCAGACACGACTGAAGCGACTTAGCAGCAACAGCAGCAGCAAGAGCCTGAGTACATGCACTACACTATATATAATGTATAAATACTATATATAATGAACTATATGTTAAAATGAAATATTTATAGAATATTTTATTTTTATAAAATTTTACATTTTAATATAGGTTTTTTCTGTTAATATATGGTGTTCCATTTTCGTGATCAGAATATGGTTTCAAATGGTACTAGAAATGGTCTATTTGTATTCTGAGACTAAATGATTTATGAAAGATTCCTCAGATGTTGTATAGCAGCTCTTATTTTAAACTTTAGCTGATTTTCTGTTAACCTGAACAGAATAAACATCCTCAGGAACTCCATTGAAGGGAAAAAACCATCATTGTCAAAATTTACCTGGATTTACAAAGTAGTTTAACATATCTATATGTTATATACAATATATATACAATCTCTCTCTCTATATATATATATAGATTCTATATATAGCATCTATATAGATGCTATATATAGAATCTATATATACAAGCTATATTAAACAGTCAATATAATCCTATTGCAGAAGCTCCCTAATTTAGTAGACAAAATAGAATTTATCCTTTTTATAATGAAGTGAAGCAATATCAATAAAAATAAATGAATAAAACAAATGTACACATCATGTAGTCATTATAAAGCAAATATGTTACAGTCATGTAACTAAAGGCAAAATAATATTGCCAGAATCCTGAAGGGCTGCCATATGTTTCTTTCTAATCACAGTTCCCTGCTCCATAAAGTTAAATACTGTCCTAATTTTTCTGGTGAACATTTCCTTGCTTCTGTTTTTAATGTTTGTGCCAGACTTTGTATATTGTAGACTCAGAATTAAGTATAGGGTGACTTTAAAATAAGAACTTAAATAAATGTAACTAAAATTAATATAGTGTAATAAAATGCTAAAGGAAACAACACAGTTCTGAAACTCATTGCAAAAAATTTTAAAGTTCAGAGTTCTAATTGGAGTTTCAAAGAAAATTCCTCATCAACAAGGTAAAAACCAAGCCAAAGACTACAGGTTTTATTGTTTTTTACTCTCTGTTATTAAGGGTTGAGTGGGATCATTTATTTTTCTTGTTTCCTTGATTTTGAATGTTTTGTGCTAAATTTTAAACAAAGTGCTAAGAGTAGAGTTAATCTAATATTTTAAGCAGTGGTCTATTCAAAATAGCAACTATTCATGAGTCTAGAAATGCAAATGGACAGTTATCTGAGAAAAGTAAATAGGAGACTACTGCTC